GACTATAGATTATAGTCGAAATATTGGAAAAATATTTAAATGATTTATATAATTTGTTTTTAAATATAAATAATATTGGTTATTTAAATGATCAATATAAATAAATTATTATAAAATTTTATAAATAATTTATTAAATCATTCTTTTATATTAAAAATATAATTACTCTCCCAAAGTATTGGGGAATTCCAAAAATGACAATCAATAAAACTGTTTGCATTCTTTCAATTACCATATGGAATAACTTACAAGTATAAGTCTTGCCAGGAACATAACCAACTGCACCATCAGCTACAATTAATTTATATCCATTATCGCCGCGCGTTCGACGACCATGTGGCAGATGAGTCGGGGCACGAGGACAGCCCGCAACTAAATTAATTGTTGCAATAACAAACAATAAAACTGCAATGTCGCACTTAAATAATTGCATCTTCGGTACTTTTTTTATAAAGCAATATTAAAAATTTAAATATATATAAATTCACATATATATGTATTATAAATTAAAACATTTAAATGTGTATTATTTATTTTACACAATTAATTTCTTTCTCAGAAAACAATCAATGAGTATTCACAAGTACTATAGTTCAAAAATGATAGCCTTTTTAGGCTACTGGCGTAGCACTTATCCTTATAAATAAGTATATATACACATATACATATATTTGCATATATATATGTTTGAGTATATATTTTTCACTTTCAATCCGCGCGTTAAACGTTCTACTTCGATCGATGTACGCGCTCAAACTGAACTCCTCAAAATAGAAACTGACTTCCAGCTGAGCTTGAAATGAGTACATTTTCTGGGCGAAGAACATTTTTACTTATACTTTTAATAGATTAAGTCATTGAAGATGCGTGTCTTTGAGAAGAGCACTTAATTGATAAGATTTCTTTGTTTTATGCACTACAGTCGTGCTCACATATGTTCAATACATCAAGAATTAAAAAATTTTAGCTTGATGGTTTTTAAGTTGGTAAGAGAAAATAGAAGGGGACTTAATAATTAATTCTTTATTTTGTATGATTGGGACTATTTTATTAAATCTGTTTTATATTTCGATCAGAGAAGTGTAATTTTATAGCATTGAAGATTAACGTACAAATATCTCTCTCTCCCAAAAAAAAAGCATAAAAAGCAAAGTTTGAACAACGACAGAATGGTTACCTTTAGTTCACTTGAAACCCTTGTCATTAAATAGGATCTAGTTCTGTAATACAAGAATGGATTGATTATTCAGTAGTTTGTAATTCTGCAATTCAAGAACGGAATGCAGAATACTCATTAGCATGCTAATATGGCTTTGTCTGTTGAAAACATATTCCCACAAGATAGAACTGGCTCTATCGACAACGGGAAGAAAAAATTTTCGATTGAGGCAATGTCATATACTAAATGAGTTTGCTACACAAATGATCAACTTATCATAATAAGCAAAACTATAAATAAACATTTTAATTTATATATCTTAATTATTTCTCTAATGATTGATAGTCGTATGGGCATTTCAGTATAACGAAGCCGACCTTCCTCAAATTGAATTGGTATTGATATTTCCATTATTTGTGATAATTATTTAAATTCGATATTCTTTAAAGTCTAGAATGGAAACATTGTTTCTCATTCTCAATTTTAATAATTATCATGCTCTTGGCTCTTCCATCATTGTGTTTTCAATTTTTTGACCTCAGAGGTCAATTGGGTGTAGTGATAAGCATTCAGTTGATTGTTATGTATTCTTTCGGATTTCAAAGTAATATTCTCGTGATTTATATATTAGACAAACATAAAATGTGTTTCTAAGATAATAAAATAATATTAACAAATCGGATTTATTGCAAAAATAAGGATATATATACGAATGTATATATATTTACGTGCTGTGTATGGATACTTTCAGTTTCGTTTAGTTTTTATTCTATATTGAGAACGGAAATCTTTAAGATTGCACATAATGATATATATTATTTTAAATATAATAGATTATTTATATTTAGTAATAAAATTGTACACAATAAACAATTTGTATTTATTGCTTGAAGAAAGTATTTTAGTGAGTGCTTATTAGAATAGAAGGGAACCTGAGCAGTACGAACCGCAAATGCCATAACATTATGTCGTAGGTTGAATAATGCTAACAACATATTTTGTTGTTGTTATTAACAATCTTATGAAATGCCTCTAGTTTTATCAAATTTGCTCCTTTTCCTAACTCTTATTCTATGTCGCATGTTTACAAACTTCGTCCTTGTTCTGAGAAGCTTCTTATAATATAGTATATATATTTTTCTGCACTCTATTTTGTCTAGTATGTCACAGAAATGGATAACCAAATGTAATATTATACGGTAGAATTTCTCTCGCATTTATCAGGTCAGATATTCAGATCATGTATAAATGAATATACTCTCGACATCATATCCTTATATGGACAACTATTAGCAAACCATTTCTGAAGGCGACTAACGTATATTAAATGTTCTTTATCTTCGAGCCTTTATCTTTGAAAACCTGTGACTGGTTTTTATGAAAGATGATATGAATTATTATGTAAAATTCAGTAAAGTAATCTTGCCATCATATATGTATTTTCATTTTTTTTATGAATATATCGACATATATGAGAGAATCATTTCCTTAGCCAAATGCCGATTATCACGTATCTTTTATCTTTGAGTGTAGTTTAAAAGACTCTATCTGATAAGCTTGACAACTGTGAGGCAACTATTATGGAAGTCTTTATACTATTAAAGACTTCCATTAAATTTCTATTAAAGAAATTCTTCTTTGTATGCCAAACAGATAGACTATATATATCGCTAGATACTAATACCGATAAATTCAATAAACCAAGACTAACGGCAGTTTTCTTTGGTCATTAGTGTTTAGGAACTTACGCAGAGAAACTTCCAACTCATTTAAATACTTACTGAAGAAGATATGGAGACAGTTCAGAGCATTTTCTCCGTGACTGCCCAGCTTTGCTTTCCACAAGAAATGGGCTTATAGGGAAGTACTTTTTTGATGGTTTGTAAAAATTTGGTAGTTTGTAGTTGATTGGTAAGAACAAAAGATGTTAAATTACTTAAATTCAACAGGATGGATATAGTTTTTTTTTTATATCTTAAGGTTTCTTACTGTTATTACTATATTTCTTGTAAATGGTGAAAAATTGCTTATTATAGGTAGCAGAAAGATATTTATTGATCTGTTACTGCCATCAATCCTTTAAGTCTTCATACTATATTGCATTAGTCAATTTCTTTCTGCTTCTCCGTATTATGAATACATCCAAACTTATCACAATTAAACTAATTTAAGTGAGATCAAGTACCAATGAGCACTAGCCACTCTTAATACTGAACCAATGTGCGCATCGCAACAAAGTTTTCGACAGTGTCCATCTGAAATTTCAAGGAATGATATAGGATTTCACCATTCGTCAACAACTCTCTTGACACACTTGGGACACACTTGCCAGTGTGTGCCCTAATCACAGCTTTACTTCTCATGGTGTTGACCATTTGTTTTTATGTTACACACCTTCTATTCATAATAACTGAAGGAATATAGATTGATGTCTCCATTGGAAAGGCATGAGATGGAAAGGTTTCTTCTTTTACAGCAGCATTAACTGATTTGCTAAGTCTAGTTGTAAGTCCATAAGTTTGATATATGATATTCTCTAACTTTTGTTAAATAAAATATTTTGTTTGATGCTTTATATATTTATATATATATATATATTAAATTTTATTGCAATAAATTTGTGTATATCTTTCAATCTAAAATTTTTCTTATAATTTCAGTTTAAATTACATACAAATTTTACAAACGAGACTTATAAATGAGATTCTATTTCATAAAAATCAATAAACAAAAAAAAAAAAAATCCAAACAGATTTGTTGCTTTAAATGATCTTCGATAGTTATATATATTTATAAATATAGTGTATATAAGTAATTTGCATATATATTCATAATAAGAATAATATTTATATGTTGATGCATTTTTAGGAAAAGCATTTTTACAACTCACATGTTAACTTATAAACTATAAACTTATATCTTTCTCAAAAAAAAAAAAACAATATAGAAATGAATTAATATATATAAAATAAACAAAAAAATAGTGATATATTTTACCACTATTAATCACAATTTATGCATCTTAAATAATCACAAAATTTTAATTAAAAATAATGTGCATTGAAATAATCAGTTATGAGTAATTTTTTTTTAATATTTCTTGCTTTTCAATTATAGAGAAATTTTTTCGTTGAATATTTATAAATTATATACATTGAAGTAAATAATATATAATTTCAAGTGTTTATATATATTATAAAAATAAAAAGTTTAATAAAAAATTTAAAAATGATTATATTAAATAAATATTTTATAAGTCAATGAAATTTCAAGTTGTTTTTGAAACATAAAATTTTTCTGAAATCAAACAAATTATTTTGTCAAGATACAAAAAAAAAGATACAATATATATTCTAAGGTTCCAGTTGGCAATTCCGTTGAAGTTTTCCCTATAGGCTCGTTTGAAATTCATTATTGTGATACTGAGTATTGTGGCCTTTGGATGAATTGTTGAATTCAATACTAAAATGTTAAAATTGGAGTTTCGCGATGATCAAGCAAATCTGAAAAAACATAAACAAAATTTTTAATATTTTAATATTTAAAA